AAGGTATAGTTCTTTGTAACACCTGAGTATTGGCACGTTCCTTCCTAGAAGAGATGCACATATTTCACATTAATATATACATTATTGCTAGTCTTGTAGTGGACTATGGATTGCGTATTAACCCTTATCAAATGCTGATTTCTTCATACACAACTGCCTCTTCCATTACATCATGACATTTGAATATTCATTATGACTTCCCTTTTTTATTTTAATGTCAGTATGTAATGGACATGCCAAAGCCTGTGAACTAGTGTTTATTTATTTTGTATTTATTGTTTATTTAATGATGCTGTCAGTAGCTCAGACTGTACGTAGTTGAATCAGTAGATGAATAGGAAAAATTGTGGAAGTCATGTCCTAATTTAAGGTACTATCCCAGTATTGCCTGGAGGAAATGAGTAAAACCTTAAAAACCTCAATATGTGGCCTCTAGGCCAAGATTTAAACCCAGGACTTCCTAAATACAAAGCAGGAGCACTAAGCACTTGGATATGACATTCAGTAGTGATGCAAGAATTCCAGTTTGAAAAATAAGGTTCTCATATGATATGAAAATTTGCCCTTGCTTGATTCCATGAAGCGTGTAATATGTTCTATGAAGACTTTGTGGCAGTTGGATGACCTCTAAGTATTTTTAGAACCATGATTGTGTGGGCTTGTCATTGCCAGTGGGAAGTAATTGTGTTTGCTTTACTGGAAACTACCATCACTGGCAATGAATGGTTTTTAAAGAGAAACAATGGCTGCTTGTAGAACTCAAACAACATACTTTATAAGGTTGGTATTTTGAGGGCGAATGCTGCTAGCAGAACGTGTTCATGGTGTCATCATGATATGTATTTTGTGATGCAATAGAACAATTCCAAGTGACATTATTTGGTGCATTATCACACTTGTCAGCTTCAGAATCCTTTACTGTTCAGCATATTCTCAAACATTACAGATAGTCTGAGCAACTATACCCATCGAAGGCTCATTCTGAGCCTGCTGCATGATATGGTATAATTCACCAAGGCTCTCATGAGACCATATGCCTAGAGAGCATTATGCTACCATTTGACATTTATTTCTAGACACTTCAGAGATATATTTCAACCAGAAATTTGTACTTACTTGTAGTTTGTTGTATGGTATTAGTCGTCCTTAGATAATGTAAGAAAAGGAAGGATTGTGTGTGTTTGGGGTAGGGTGTGATTTTGATGTTTTGTTCCAGAAATGCATTAAAATCAGATTAAATATTTCAGTTCAGTGACTTAACAATAAAGGCAGATTGAAGTGGTAAGATGCTACTGAAATGCCAGCTATTTAGTTAGCATAGTAGTGAGACTCATTTATTGCTTATATCTATTAAAAAAAAGATGAATGTGAGTATTTTACCTCTAATCTTATGTCATTTTTTGAGTTTTGATGGGAGTGACCAAAGATCAGGCTAGGAAAAAAGTGTAAGAGAATTGTGTTTGGAATCTTCACCCATGGTTTAAGAGGATTTGGTGGCTTGCTAAAGTCTGCACAAAAGGATGTTTTCTGTTTTATTTATTGCAGTATTTGAGTGACAATTCCTAACCAAATTATTAATGAACCTGCTTTTGTGATGTGTGATATGACAATGGGTTTGGCACAATTTACAACTAAGAGAGGAGTGTGTATTGAAACATAGAATATTGTAAAATAAAATAATATTTTGTAACAATTCTAATAACATTGTGATTACTTAAGGAAAAAATATAGTATTTTGGTAGAAGTGTTAATATAATACAATCATTATTACTGACAATACTCTGCTTCTACCACTTTTGTTCCTGGATGCTACATTTGTAGGTTTGCAATTTTATATAGTGTGGTAAATGAAGGATATTTTATTCTGTTTTTGGTTAGTGTATCTAAAGTCTTGAACAGAACAATTGTGCCAGAAATAGTTCTCATTTTTCAAAGTCAAATTGCTCCTATAAGACTGAATTTGAATGTGACAATTATGTTTACTGTGTGAATTCTTTCTTATTGTTTGCACTACTTTGCTGTTCAGACAAAGTGAAAGTTTCCTGTTGCTTTACTGTGTATATCTCAGTATGAAATGTTAAATCTACAAATCTTCATCAACATATCTGAAGTAATAACAATATACTGGTTTATGAAAATGTGTCAGAATTTTGATTTTAACTAACCTGCTTTACTAGTATCATAGTTTCTGTTGGTTAGAAATATAAAGTGGAAATCTTAATAACAGAAGATCACAAGGACCATTTTGAAATATGGGTAGTAACCCATTCCATGCTAAGTTTAATTTAGAAAATAAATGTATTAATTTATTTGTTTTTGTGGCAGTTTAAGCAACAGGCAGTTTGAAGTGTTACAATATGGCATGAGAATATATTTTCACAGCTCAAACACCAGATATGTTCTGAGCAGGAATAGCTGGTGTACCTGAGCAAAGAATCTCATTTACAAAGTGGAAAGGGTTTAACTGTGTCTTGCGTTCAAGGAATGGCTGGGTTTATATTTTCATAAAACATCATTTGATAACAGTATCTGATTTTGGGATGATGTTTTGTAAAGTGGTTGAAGAGTGTGTAGGAAACAGCTATTATACCCTTGATAGAAATGCAGCCTGTGAAGAAGGTAGTGAGCAAGAAACTTTAGAATTAAGTGGTTGTGGAAGAAATTGAACTTGGGTGTCTGCTATATGGACAGACACATTGTTTTTGTCAAATTTGCAAACCAGTCTTTTTTTTGTGCTGATCACAAATATGATAGTCACGAGAGTTGTAAAATGCACAGATTTTGTTGTTGTTATCCTCCTTTACTTGTCTGCAAAACATAAATGTACATACCACTTATTATAAAATGTGAAATAATGACATTGTTTAAATGAGAATAAACTTTTATTCACAAATAAATCATCATATTTTGCACATTATGGTTGGCAAAAATTATAAGAACACTTAGAAAAAGACAGGAGTAAAAAGACACTGTTTTGACTCAAAATTAACTGCACATGGAGTTATTTTTTCTTTTTATGAATGTGTTCATCCTCCCATTGCGAAAACCAACACTAGTCATCATCATGGTTGGATCCCACCTTCCTTGAGAGCACTGTACCATTATTCTTATGTTCCGGTAGAACATTTCATCATGTTCATGAAACCCAGCGTCATATGTAACAGGATGAAATACCAGTTGAGGATCCACTAATGCATATAACTTTGCCAACTTTTGGAAACAGACATTCATTTTTTGAAAGTATTTGCTTAATTAGTCTTTTCTTGTACTTTTGTGTTGTTTTCTTAATATAAAACATGAAACACCTACTCTGTAGACATTCAGTAACAAATAGATTATATTCCCTTGTTGCACAGCATGTTTTGTCACGAGACTGCAGGATAAGAGCAAAACATTTAGGCCACATGTTGGTCTCCTGGATAGTAACACCACATGGACTTGTTTC